GAGACCCTCCGGCCAGGACCCGGCTTGACCAGGCTGGGTAGGAAGGAAGGGTCTTTCGTGGTGCTCTTTTTTTGGTGCAGGAAGCTAATGTCTTCTGTCTCTCTTCTGTGAAAACCTGGCCTCATTCACCGGAAAGGGCAGAAGGAAAAGTTCATTCATCTCGTGTCACAAGGCAAACGTGGAAGACCGGACTCTGCGTTCAGCGCGGAGGGGTGACGCCGAGCCTCTAGTCAATAAACCGGGAAATATTTTTTGAGCATCTTCTTTGTGATTGAACTAGACTGGTGAGAGTGAAAAACTGTAGTTCTAACCGCGTGGATTTTTCTGGCTAGTGGCCAAAAGAGACACTAAGCAAAGTAATTGCAGATGGTTTGTGTTCTGGGAGCTTCCAGGAGGGGGCTTAGTTCACCGGGGGTGCTGATGGGATCTAGACAGGCGTATGGAGAAAGAGGACCCTCAGACTGACGCCCGGGCGGAGGTGTAAGGCGTGGGGCTGTGGGGTAGGGAGGTTGAGGTCCCAGATCTAGGGGACCTCAGAGTCCAGAGGGGGCTTGTGGAGAAATTCCGTGTGTTAGGAGAGATGAAGTCGAGGCGAGGGCAGAGGCCGGATGATGCACGCAGCCCTTGGTTGGCTGTGTCTAGGGCTTTAGATTTTATCCTGTGGGAAAATGGGACAATGGAAGGATTAAGACAGGAGGGATAAACCCAGTGTCTGGCAAATAGCAGCTCCTCTATCCCTTACAGAATGACAGGAGGAAAAGGGGGCCCCTCTGGAGGGTGTGATAGTTCTTCCAGAAGGTTGGACTTTGGGGAAAACAACTTGGTTTGGCAGCAGTAGGGCAGTCCAGAGGGTCTTTGATGAGAATGGATTCTAGGTGAATAGTCTTTTTCCTTATAGAGAACGTACAGATTTATTTAATTCCTGCCTACTGCGCAGGGTTCTGTTGTATCAGTTTAATCTGTTGATGGATATCTACGTTAGATCCATTTTTTGTAATTATTATATACAATGTTATTGGAAACATGCTTGTGCATCCATTTCCCCACATGTCTCCATTTAGCTGGGTGATGAGCAGTGGAAATCTTGGGTCATGGAGAAGTCATGGAGAGTAATACAGTATTTGATAAATATTGACAAATTGCTCTATGAGAAAGCTGTACAAATTTACACTTCGTTAAGAGTATGACAATGTGTTTGCTTCCTTGTACCCTCCACAAACTTGAGGGGTTTTTTTTGTTTTGTTTAAACTTGAGTTTTTAATCATATTTTTTCATCTTTTGCCAATCTGATAGGTGGTGAAAAGTACTACCTTGTTTTTGTTTATATTTTTAAAATCAGGAGTGATTCCTGTTGCTTTTCTTCCCCCCTGTTGGATTTTAATTTAACTCAACCAAAACCAATTTTTGTCCTAAGGTTTTCACACATTCATTAACCCACATATCTTTGTCTCCTACAGACTAAGGCTGGGTCAAGATGGCGTCTGTATTCCGAAGTGAGGAGATGTGTTTGTCACAACTGTTTCTCCAGGTGGAGGCTGCATATTGCTGTGTAGCTGAGCTTGGAGAGCTTGGATTGGTTCAGTTCAAAGATGTAAGTACCGCATTCTTTGGAGACGGAGGAAGGTGGAGTTTCACACCGCTTCGTGATAGTGAACAAAGTTCAGGGAGGAGAGCCCTGGGCTGGAATAGGTGGAATTCCGTGGTTCTAGTTCTTCTGGCTAGGATTTGCGATAACGTTGGGCAAGTGACTCACAGACATGTTCTTCCTTCCTCCAGTTGTGTCTCCTCTATGGGGATGTTTTAAAGCTCTGATGCAATCACTAAGATGGCATTGTATTTTCTTTCCTGTGTGGCATCTTCAAAGCATTTGATATATCCAACGGGCAAACCTTGTTCTGAGGACAGAAACTAATTCTTCCTGATTACACTGTCTGAGGAAAAAGTATCCTGGAGTCAGTCCACAGTCTCTGTAGAGTGACATTCTTGGGCTAGACCATATTTTTTTTTCTTCCAGCTTTACTGTGATGTAATTGACATATAACACTGTTTAAATTTAAGGTGTATGGCATAATAATTTGATTTACATACATCATGAAATGATTATCACAATAAATTTAGTGAACATCCATTATCTCTGACAGATACAAGAATAAATAGAAAAAATTTTTTTTCTTTGTGATGAGAACGCAGGATTTACTCTCTTAACACTTTCATATACAATGTACAGCAGTGTTAATTATATTTATAATGTACATTACATCTCTAGTACTTATCTTATAGTTGGAAGTTTGTACCTTTTGACTGCCTTCATCCAATTCCCCCCTTCCCTTACCCCTTATAACCACAAATCTGATCTCTTTTTCTATGAGTTTGTTTGTTTTTGAGGTATAATTGACCTACAACACTATGTTAGTTCCTGGTACATGACACAGTGATTCAGATTTCTGTACATTTCAAAATGATCACTATGATAGGCCAGTTACCAGCTGTCGCCATTGGACGGTCTTGAGTATGATGCTGGGGCATCATTTCCCAGAGGCGGCTTTAGAGCCTCACCAAAATCTTTTGAATCCAGTTTAGAAAACTGGACTCTTTACTTTCTCACCAGGGTCAGCGTCAAAACTAAGCCCTGCGGAGAAGGGTTATGTCTTGCTCCTTGCGGCCCCAGCTCCAAGCTCAGGACCTGACATGGAGCAGTTCCTCAGTAACATTTACTGGGCTGAACGGAGGGTCACCAGCACAAGGACGCTGAATTTTTGTTGATGACCAGAATACACTGCATGGAGCTGTGCAGTTTTCAAGGTTCTGTCACATTCATGACTCCATCGAGGAATTCCAAGTGTATTTGGGTAGTAAGTGCAGCTGAAATGAAGGAAACCTTAGCTGTGGGAGGACATTTAGAAGGGTAAGAAGACCAGAGCTGGGGCATTTGGAGGACTGAGTGTAAGAACATGACAGTGTATTTTGCCTATAACTCATCCTTCTTGTGCAAGGAAATATCTATTCTTAAGATGATTCCAGCAACGTTCTCCAGCAGTAAGAAAAAATAATAAAATAAGCAAAGAGAATGCATTGGCATGCCTTGTGGTTTTTTACCCCCTCTAGTTAAATGTGAATGAGAGCCGCTTCCAAAGGAAATTTGTGAATGAAGTCAGAAGGTGTGAATCACTGGAAAGAATTCTCCGTAAGTCAATTTTCTGCTTGCTTTCTATATGCGACCTGGCAGGTCTGATGTCCTGCACCAAACATGTCCCTATTTGTAAGACTTTTTGAGGTGATCCTGCAGACAAGGTAGGGGAGGTTAGAGATGGGATCCAGCTGCTGTGACAGGTCTTCAGGGCCATTTAGGCAGCTGAACTGGGAAAGGCACTTGACCTGTTTGACCCCATTTCTGAAGTCTGAGAAAACACAGTCACCTTGGGTTCTCTGATGGGTTTCATCCCTCAGGTTTTCTAGAAGATCAGATGCAAAATGAGATTGAGATTCAACTGCTGGAGAAGTCCCCGCCCACCCCTCTCCCTCGGGAAATGATCACCCTGGAGGTAGGTTCCTTCCACGGGACCGTCCTGAAGCCTGTGTCCTGGGGACTCAGAGCCTCTCATGGATTCATTACCCAGTTGCTGAAGGCGTGGACACGGACTTGTGTGCTTGTCCACTTTTCTGTGTTATCCCCTCGGGAAAATCCCGCCGTGCAATTTTTAAAGTCACTCTTCTTGCTCCAGGAGAGAGCTCTTTTTCTCTCTCAACGCAGCCCTAGGGATGCTCACCCCACCTGGAGGAGCAGTTTCCTTTGTGGGCCTAAGAGGTTACAGACAGCGAAGTCTCATCCATATGGTGCCACTGAACAGACCTTACTTGGGCACAATGGGATGTCTTCTTTCTTTCATCTTCTTTTTGAAAATTATAGTCATCATGCTGTACATTACCTCTGCAGGACTTATTTATTTTATAACTGGAAGCTTGCACCTTTTGACCACCTTTACTGATCTTCCTTCCTTCCTTCCTTCCTTCCTTCCTTCCTTCCTTCCTTCCTTCCTTCCTTCCTTTCTTTCTTTCTTTCTTTCTTTCTTTCTTTCTTTCTTTCTTTCTTTCTTTCTTTCTTTCTTTCTTTCTTTCTTTCTTTCTTTCTTTCTTTCTTTCTTTCTTTCTTTCTTTCTTTCTTTCTTTCTCTTTCTGTTCTACATCCACATATGAGATCGAATCCAC